GGGGCCCGAATACGGCCGCTCTAAGGGCTTTTTAACCGCGTCCTTACGGAGGAAGACATGCGAACACTTCGACAATTCCTTGAATTGGAAAACGCGCTTTTTATAATGGTGTGCCACTGGTACCGGCTTCACCTGACGCATGTGCTGTCGAAAGTCGTCTACAAAGATTTGGGGATCCGGTGTAAAATCCTCCTCGAGGAAAAATTCTCCCGGAATCCGTAATACCGTACCGTACAAGAATTCGGCCGGAGAGGCTTTTGTGTCCATACGTAAATGGGTGCGTAAACCGAGTAGCACTGTAGGGAGGACATCCACCCAGTTCGGCGTGTTATGGCACATAATTGCCGCCTTGAAGGTGCGGTGCCAACGCTCGATCATGCCATTAGCGGCAGGGTGATAAGCCGTGGTACGAATGCGTTTGCATCCGATTAATTTGAGAAGGGCTGAGAAGAGCTGCGCTTCAAATTGTTGACCTTGATCGGTCGTGAGAATGTTAGGTGCACCGAAACGAGCGACCCAGTTATCAAAAAATGCCCTGGCTACTGTTTTTGCAGTAATATCCAGGATTGGAATCGCTTCTGGCCAGCGGGAAAACCGATCGATGATTGTTAAGCAATACGTAAAGCCGTTACTAGGATGCAAGGGGCCTACTATGTCCATGTGGACGTGGTCGAAACGCCCGTCGGGAGCTGAAAATTGGGCAGGCTCGAGTTTGAGTGGCGTGAAACCTTGCACTGCTGGCAATCGGTACAATTACCCGCGTTGCGACGTCGCGATGCAGGTTAGGCCAGATATACTGTCTTATGACGCGGTCTGTTACTTTTGCGTTCGGATGCGCGGGGTTATGGAAAAGGTCGAAGACCTGTCTTCTAAGAGATGCTGGAATGTAGGGCCTGATCGATTCACTTGACAATTTGCAGTATAGCTCTGTGTTGGAAGCACCCCAAATGAATTTTTTTAATTTTAACGAGGACGAGTTCGAGATCAAGAGATGTTTAAGTTCCTCGTCCTTTTTTTGCCTAGCGGCAAGGTCTACTAATTCGAATTCGACCGGGAGGCGTAGAGCCTCGATACGAGATAAGTTGTCGGCCACCAAGTTTTCCGAACCGGCGAGGTGTTCCAACGCGGTGGTGAACTGCGCTATGTACGAGAGCTGACGTAATTGCCTTGGGGAGGCTTTGTCTGACCGTTGCTGAAATGCGTAAACCAAAGGTTTATGGTCCGTCATGACCTTAAAATTACGACCTTCGAGGAAGTGTCGAAAAAACTTTATCGATTCATAAATCGCGGTCAATTCTCGGTCGTACGCGCTATAGTTCCTCTGCGCCGGAGTGAACTTCCTAGAGAAGAAAGCTATGGTCTCCAACCGTCAGAGGTATGCTGCTCAAGGGCCCCACCCATAGAAAAGTCCGAAGCATCTGACACGACGCGAGTGTCGGCAGAATTGGACGGGTGTGCTAGTAACGCGGCGTTAGCAAGGTCGGTTTTGGCCTTTTCGAACGCGGTTTCGGCCTCATGAGTCCACTGTATTTTGCGTTTATCGTTTTTACGCGAGTCAGATAAGTACGCGTGTAGAGGGGCTTGTACGCGAGCGGCGTGTCGAAGGCTGCGCCTATAGAAATTTAACGCGCCCAAAAAACGACGTAGTTCCGCTACGGTCTTTGGCTTCGGGAGGTCCCTAATAGCAGCCACTTTTTCCGGAGAGGGTTTCAGACCGAATTTATTTACGCGATGACCGAGAAAGGTCAATTCTTCTACACCAAAAACGCACTTGGATGGATTGATTACTAACCCGGCTTCCTTAAGTTTTTGGAACATGATGCTTAGATGTTTCCTATGCTCCTCCATGGAAGAAGACGCTATAAGAATGTCATCTATATAAGCAAATGCAAAGTCGAGATCCCGTAAGGCGTGATGAATATACCGCTGAAAGGTCTGAGCGGCATTCCACAGACCGAATGTCATAGAGACGAATTCGAACAACCCGAACGGCGTTATGACGGCCGTCTTTGGTATGTCGGCCTTTGCCATTGGAATCTGATGGTAGACCTTGAAGAGATCAAGGGAGGTAAAGATCGACTTACCTAATAAATTTGTGACCGTTCGAATCTGTAATTACTGTGCAACGGATAGCCGCGGGAATTCTAGGGTCCGGCGGTGGGTGTCTCGAAAAGAGAGAGAGTCAGGTTTAATCTTAACTACTAAAATATATTTACAACTTATTCTACAGGAACGACTTATAACTAACTTACAATTATCCTTATAATCTATTGCCATTCTGACGGCGGTTCGCTATTACAATCTGGCGCACGAGCGCTTCGAAATATATGTGCGCGGCGACGATCTATTGGTCGATCCGGTCGGCGGCGGCGCGGTAGTATCGGTTCGGGCCGGTGTGTTCGTACGCGGTTCGGTTCGCTCGGACTCGGCGCGGTGCGGCGGTTCAGTGCGGGCGGCGCAGGCGCGGTACGTTCGGTGTCGGCGCGGTATACTGTCTGCTTGCCGGTGACAGCTCGCGTTCGCGGTTAGGTT